CTTGCTGGGTGAAAACCCAGGGTCAAGGCGTAGTCAAAGGCTCTCCTTGCTCATTTCTAGATCTACCAAGTCATTGTCATCCAGACAGGGAGCTTTGACAGCAACAAGGCTGTCCTGGAACGACGCTATTCCGACTTCGAGAAGCTGCAGAAAGCCCTCCTCAAGAGTTTCAAGGAAGAGATTGAAGACGTGGTCTTCCCCAGGAAGCACCTGATGGGGAACTTCACGGAGGAGATGATCTGTGAGCGCAAGCTGGCCCTCAAGGAGTACCTGGGCGCGCTCTACGCCATCCGCTGCGTGCGCCGCTCCCGCGAGTTCGTGGACTTCCTCACGCGGCCCGAGCTCAGAGAGGCCTTCGGCTGCCTGCGGGCTGGCCAGTACGCCAGGGCCCTGGACATCCTGATGCGCGTGGTGCCCCTGCAGGAGAAGCTGACCACACACTGCCCCACGGCGGTGGTCCCAGCCCTCTGCGCCATGCTGGTGTGTCACCGCGACCTGGAGCGCCCCGAGGAGGCCTTCGCTGTTGGCGAGAGCGCCCTGCAGCTCCTGCAGGCCCGGGAGGGCCACCGCTACTACACGCCCTTGCTGGACGCCATGGTCCGCCTGGCCTACGTGCTGGGCAGGGACTTCGTGTCTCTGCAGGAGAAGCTGGAAGAGAGCCAGCTGCGGAGGCCCACCTCCCGGGGCTTCTCCCTGAAGGAGCTGGCCGTCCGCGAGTATCTGTGACGAGCCTGCCTGCTGCCTTTGCAGGGAAGCTTCACATTTGGGGTCACGATTACTCAGTGATCTTTCTGGGTTCATTTCCAATGGGCAAAGCCAGTGGGGGCTCTAAGTCACAAGGTGACTTTGGACAAACCCCTCCTCTGGCCTTCTGTTTCCTGTCTGTATTGAACAGAGGTGCTCCTGGGACTCTCGGGAAGACTCCACCTCTCTGTCTGTCCCCCTTGATACCAGGGCCACTTCATCATGAAACCACAAACACGGCTGCCAGACATTGGAGAGGAACGTGGACCTCACCAGCGTCTTTGTGCTAAGCTGGAGGAGAGGTTGCGCACGAAAGACAAAGCTGAATCCACTACTCTGCAGAAAGTTCGCTCCAGCTGTGCCGAGTCTTTCTCTCCATTCCTCCTGTTGCAACATGGCTTACAAATATTTCCACTCATTTTCTGAATATTAACCCGACAGTCTAGCTCGTCCTCAGTAGCACGTAGACCCAATGCAACAAAATAAAAATTCACCTGTGCCCCTAAAGAACAGCCTCTCCGGCTCGGTGCCTATAGCTCAACCGGCTAAGGCGCCAGCCACGTACACCTAAGGTGGTGGGTTTGAATCCCCAGCCCGGACCCGCCAAACAACAATGACGGCTGCAACCAAAAAATGGCCGGGCGTTGTGGCAGGCGCCTGTGGTCCCAGCTACTTG